TGTTACAGTATGTGCTCATTTTAACTTGTCCCTGATCTTTCAAACTTGTGTCTGGTCTAATCTAGTCTACTGTCTACTATTTTTAGCTTTTAGTGATATTGCAACGTTCTTTTAATTTGTCCAAATATGGAGCAACTTTCTGTCCTTATAATAGATATTCATACATACTTTAATGCCTATGTGAAAAACCCCTAAAATAGTTATTGGTAACTTATAGTTACTAGAACATAGTCTAGTTCTACTGGTTTTTTAGTTATATATATATGATCATAGAATTTGAGAATTTCTATTTTTCATTTGAAGTCTAATGGTTTTAACCTTTTAATTTTAGTAAAAAATTGAGTATATATTGTATCTAATGAACATTTATAGTCTACAAGCACTTGTATAATCTTTGTAGTAAAAAGTAGATAATAATTTTCCTTATTTATTTACTAAATGTATTTAGTATTTACAATCTAATATAACAACAACAAATTTAAGAGAAAGTTTTACTGCAACTATAAGTCTACAATGGAGATGCCAAGACTTAGAATTCAAACCACAATGAACTTACCTAATTTTAAAGGAAGCAATATCTCAGCAGCAACTATTCTGTACATGCTTATATCAACTTGAAATAATCTAGAAAATGGTGTAAACTCCTTCCAAAAGTACATAGGAAAGTGAGTGGGTTTGAAAAATATTCACACTAGTATGGACTTGTACCCTTCATTTTTCAATAGCAACCACTGCATAAAGCATTCTTGTTCCTTCACTCTTTGCTTGTGGCTCCACTCAATCCTCCACACACTTATCATGCTACCTATTTTTCCTATTCACCTTTCATTCCCATAAAATTAAAAAAGGTTTCATAATTTTTCCAACTCATCAAAATCTTCTATAATTAGGAGATATTTTCAAAACTCACACTTCCTATGTTCGGAGCAGAGGAACTTCAGTTGCAGGTAGTCCTCATCGTGGCAACCCAGACTAGCCAGAAACATTTACAAAAACTATCACATTCAATCCAATATAATCATGTTGAATCAAACAATAATACACTAATTCCATACAACAAGAACTCCTAATCTCTATATCAGATTTATTAACTGAACAAAGCATCCAACACATATATCCTTTCCAAAACTCCACAACCCCTCTCATATCAACACAAAACATCAACAACTTAATTTCATTTCCACCGAACATAACATTATCTTCTTCAGTTTACTTTCCAACCCAATTTTTTTTAGTTAACATCCAAACAAGAACTGATCAAAACAGTCCCACTTCTTTTCATTATTCTACGACTATTCAATCAATATTACTATACCCACTCGTTCCGGACTCATACAACAATTCCAGTTCAGAAATGTTAAAACATCACATAGGGAAAAAAATCATATTAACAAACAGGGCAGCCACCAAAAGGTACATAATTTGAAGCAATAACTTACCTCTACGGCAGCAACAACCCTAGGTGTATTAGCACCTCCAATAGCCTCTCTTGCGAAGCCCTTCTCACGCATAGAAAGCCAAATCGTCACGCAGCCCCTGGATTAGCCTCCTTCGCGAACTCGAAGCTGTGTGCACGCCGCAACACCACCCACTGACTCGGAGACACACCTCCTCACACCGCCAAAGGATCGTCATTAACAAACCCTAAGAGAAGCATCGTCCATAATGGAAGGCGTCACGTCAATGCCTTCGTCCTTCAACCACACACGCTTTTGAAGAATGGAGAGGAGCTCGAGAACGGTCAATGGTGATGGCGAAACCGTAATAGACGAGTGGGAAACAATGGCAATGGTGTTTTCGAAGTCTGAACGAGAAAGGTAGACGTGGGTAGAGGGGAGAGGGCGGAACAGTGAACGAGAGAAAGGGGAAGCTTACTTTTGCGAAAAGGGATTTTGGGAGAACAGAGGAGGGAATTTCCAATTCCTGATTTCATTAAGTCTATGTCTATACCGAGGGCCAAAAGCCTTCGGTAACTTCGTGATAAATCCTTCGGTAATACATCTTTACCGATGACCAAAAAGACCGTCGGTATGAATCCTTCAGTAATTAATGCGTTTCTGGTAGTGGTTGACCGGTGTATATATATAAAGATCAGTGGGAGTAAGTTTGTTATATTGGTTTTATAGGTTGACGACATTCTTCTTGTTGCTATTAATATTGGTATGTTACATGATGTAAATAAGTTTCTCTCTAGCAACTTTGAAATGAAATATATGAATGAGGCATCTTATGTGATAGGAATAGAAATATTCCATGATAGATCACAAGGATTGTTAAGTTTGTCTCAAAAAGGCTATATTAACAAAGTATTAGAGAGATTCAGAATGGAAAAATGCTCTCCTGGAGTAGTTCCAATTCTAAACGGGGATAAGTTTAGTCAAATGCAATGTCCCAAGAATGATTTGGAACGAAAGGCCATGGTGTCCATTCCTTATGCGTCATTGGTTGGGAGTTTGATGTATGCTCAAACTTATACTCGGCCAAATATCAGTTTTTCTTTTGGAATGTTAGGCCGATATCAAAGTAATCCCGGAATAGATCACTAGAAAGCTGCAAAGAAAGTTCTTAGGTACTTACAAGGTACCAAAGAATACATGCTCACCTATAAAAGGTCAGATCATCTTGAGGTGATTGGCTACTCGGATTCAGATTATGCTGGATGTGTGGATTCAAGAAAATCCACATTTGGGTATGTTTATCTATTAGCTGGAGGAGCAATTTCTTGGAAAAGTGCAAAACAATCAGTCATTGCTACTTCCACAATGGAGGCTGAATTCGTGGCATGCTTTGAGACCACAGTTTATGCTTTGTGGTTGCGGGACTTTGTATCTAGGCTTGACATTATTGACAGTATTGCTAGGCCAATAAGGATTTATTGTGATAATTTCGCAGCCGTCTTTTTCTCTAAAAATGACAAGTACTCAAAGGGTGATAAACACATGGATTTGAAGTACTTTTCGGTCAAAGAAGAAGTGCAGAAACATAGAGTGTTGATTAAGCATATTGGTACTGATTTGATGATAGCAAATCCGTTAACTAAAGGACTACCGCCCAAAACTTTTATTGGCCATGTTGAAAGTATGGACATTATGGATAAGTCAATATTAACATGATGATGTTATCTATCTATATGGATATGTATAGTTATATGCTTATACTGTCATGACACTTGTGAAATCAATTAAAGTTATGTTTCTCTTTATTCTATTGTTATCCACATTAAGTTATATACATGTATTATTGATTGTGGTAACATCTTATATCTCTTTTAGAGATATGAAAGTTATAAGATTGATTAAAGTTATGTTGAGTTGGTTTGATTATGTGATACATGTGTCGTTCATGACTTTTGTCCGCCATGATCTGATCATTTCAATTCATATAAGGATGATGACTTGATAATTCTAGTGAATGGTGTGCACTTAAAGTTTAGTCTTAGATCTTCAAGTCATCACATGAACCAAGTGGGAAAATGTTAAATTATATTAATTTAATAATTGGTTTATGTAATTTAAAGTATAACTTTGATGTAAAGATTCTAATGTGATGATTATTAGAATATAAGGTATTAAAGTTATAGGGATTATTTCAGAGTTATTAAAATTAATCCCTCTCTTCTCACTTTAATAAAGGACATTTTGGTATTTTATTATAGTTGGTAAAATATCATAAAAGAGGAAAAATCTTTTACTTACGTTGACACGTTAATTTTTTGAAATGAGAGAAAAGAAAAGGTTACATTCTCTGAAAGAAGAGAAACGATGACTTTAACAGAGAAAAACATATTTGCTAATTTCTATATCATCAAGAAAGCATCAAAGAGAAGTAAGGGAAGAGAGAACAATTGACAGAAAAGAGCTATACAATGGATCCTGGTAAGTTTTCTTCTACTATGTATGTGAGAATAGTGAGAATTATGAAATTTAAGATCCTGTGTGTTTTCATTTAATTGAAATTAATAGAAATTGCTTACACCTTAAAGTAGCGAGTCTTGCTTTGGTTATTTGTCTTTCTTTATTGTCACGTCTAATAGATTGAAGTTACTTCATCTATAATCTTTATGGATTTTCTACTCAGAAATGTTACTTTGACATGTCTAGATGGTTAACATTCAAATGACATGTGTGGGTCTCAGTCACATAGTGAGGTAAAAGGTGGGAATGTAGTAAAAAGGAGATTATAGTTAAATGGAAAAGTATCTACCATGAGGTTAGTACCACCATACGAACACAACTTCACAATATGAATGACTGTTAGCTCGACTCTTTCATCATGAATCTCCAACTTCAACTTAATCCTTTTAACACGGATCTACAACTCTCGACCCTTCCACCATAGGTTTGCAGTTCCAACTCGACCCTTCCACCACAGACTACAACTCTAACTCGTTCCTTTCTCTATGGATCTCCAACTTCAGCTTGACCCTTCCAGCATTGATTTCCAGCAACATCAACAAACAAGAAGTCAATAAAGTGCAATTGGAATCAGTTCCATCACGTTAGGAATCAAAGCCATTGTGAATAGTATTTTCACCCAAAATGAACACAACATTAAGGCATCACATTTCAAACATAAATCTCACTCCAACCAAATATTTTGCAACAATTTAGAAAAATTTTCACATATTTCTCAATTAAAAAACATAGTGCACCAATCACCATTTGCCGTCCTATTTGGGTCAACCACCCTTGGTCGACCATTAGCCAACAATTCTAGCCTAACCATCCTTGACCGACTACCCTTAACTGCAAAATGACATAATTACTCTCTTTTTAATTCATGTTGTGAGACCCATATATTTTAAAATAATATTAAAATGGACACATGTACTTTTCTAGATACAAGTAAGATATTATTCATTGAGGGCCAAGCCCTCACGGATTTGTTTTTGGTACTCCTTCAAAAGGCCTCTTACCAATGAAGATATTTTATGTGTATATAAACCCATGTTCATCTCTTATTTTATCTGATGTGGAATTTTGTTTGTACCCAACGTTTAGGACATATCGAGCCTCTTTATTTAAGAAACAATGAAAGAAAAGTGACAATATATTTATCTCACTAAATACAGTGCATACTTATATTATGTGCAGCAACTTATTTACTTAGGAATCTTACAACAATGCATTATTCTAAATTATAAATGACAGACCTGATCCGCCAAAGTTTTCTTCGATAATTTTAGACAGTTTTTCTATCATGGAAGGAGAAAAATAGTTTATCCAATCTCTGGTTTCTCCTTTCCGAAAAAAGTACTTTTTCTCCAGAAATTGGTAAATCACTCCAGATTTATTCACTTCCGAGTTCTTCATCTTCTCAAAGCTGCATAGCTTGATTATGCGTTCGATCACTTCCTGGTTTTCTTCCTCTTGAGTGAAAGGACATCCCAAAAAATCTGCAATTTTTTTCACCTCAAAATTGGCATCCTCTTTAAGATCTTCATACTTCAAGAACAAAACCTTGTTTGGTTTGGCCATGCTCTCCTTCCAATAACCTAGCATATGACTCCACCATGGACCAAACTCAATTATCCCATTGCAGTACATTTCAAAAGCTTCTTCAATTTTCAATGTGGACAAAGGCTCTAGCTTAATTTTATCAAAGTAACTCCATGCTGAAACAAAAAGGTCAAAAGGGTTTCTAGAAATATAAATTATCTTACAGTTAGATTGATCAATGATGGAGTTGGGCAAGGAAGGGAATGGAGTGTGAGTTCCAAACACTCTTGGTTCAGTAGTTGGGCAATGGACATCACCACGATACATAAATTCAACATGAGGAACAAGTTGATGAGGATTTGAAGTAAGCAATGGATGGTTATCATTGGAAGACAAGCATTGGCGATTCACAATGGAAAATGTAATGGCTTTCAACCAAGTAGTGCCTGATTTTGGAAAACTAGCAACAAAAATATCACTGTCTTTTGCTTGAAACTGCTTTTGAAAAATGTTTACCTCTTTTATAAGAATTGAAGGGCACCAAAATTCTTGGAATAGATAGAGATCAGGGATTGCCCAACCCCTCTCTCTGGGGAGGGATGAGAGAATAAGTTCATCTTCTGCATTTGGTCGTTGCCCTTCCATTGCCACTGAAAAGATTGAACAGGGAAAACCTTAGAATTGGAAGTATTGGATGAGAACTTGTTCTCTGAGCGATATCTTCTGTAGCAATATGAGTTGAAGAAATTATAAATCTGTTGAAATCAATGCCAGCATGTACAGGCAGATAGCACAAAACTTTCCTATTATACCGTCATCTGTAGCATGACGGTTGAAGAAATTATACTGATTTTGACAAAAGTCATCAATGGCAGACATGTTATGGGCAAAAATTTGTCCTTTTATGACAATATGTGAACACCAGTCTGTTCATATTATCTTAGCATGTCGCTCAAAATAATTGGCCAAATTAGTAAAAACAACCGTGTTACTCTCACAGATTTCTTTTGGCAAAAAGTAGCTTGTCTTTTATCAATAATTACTAAGTTATGGATCATGTTACTGTGTCTTTGTGATCGAACTTCCTAACATTAATTATTAGTATTGTGTCAATGATAGATGTTTAATCTACAATCTTTCTCACTTTTCCATCCAAATTAATCTTATAACTCTCAAAATTATGACAAACAAAAATCGAATTTCCTGTGTTAATGGATCATGTTACTGTGTTTTGTCTCAAACTAACCATGTTCTCACAATTTGCTATCAAATTAAGTCTGTATGATGTCCTGGTGAAATTGGTGGTTGTTTAATCATGTTATCCAATGCTTATTTGCTTTTTGAAAATAGTTATATAATGACAAATCCCAATCCTGATACCATTGCATTGGCTTTGTGCGGTGTGGCAATGGTTTCTTTATATGCTCCAATTTAACCCCATTTCAATTTTAGTCCCAATGGCATGATATCAATTTGATCTAATACAAAACAAGTGAAGTGTTATCTTGAGTTTTTTAAGTATGTTTTACCATATATTTAGATTTAACAGACTTAAATTTAAGTCTTTTAGTGATCAACAAATTTAAACTTTAAGTTTGTTATTATCTAAATTCATACAAAAGAAAGACAACTAATACAAAAGAAAGACAACTAATTTAAATATGTTGTGACCATAATAAACTTAAACTTGTTCTTTTTTTTTTAAATTTTATTTATTTAATAATAAAACTGAAACTTGAAATACAACCAATTTTAGATAATAGATTATATATTTCAAATTGGTCAATGTAAGTACATAACAAAGAATTCAAAATAAAAAAAATAAAATAAAATGTCTAACTTAAAATCTGTAATCTAAACAAAAGTCTAACTTAAATTTTTAAGTCTAAAAATAACTTAACAAAAACCTAATCAAAAACCAAATTTGACCGTTGGAGGTGATGACTTGCCCATTATTAAGTTATTTTGGCTATGTCCTGTAAGTGACCGATTTTCAAAAACCTAAAATAAATAATGTTATTATACAGTGGAGTATGAACAGTAAAATACCTAAAATAAATAACATTATTATGTAGTGGAGAATCTTAAATTGTAGAATTCATATTTTTCTATAATTCAATAACAATTACATAAAGAAATTTATCATCATTAATTTGATAGAATTTATTCAACCTAACCTAACCCATATTTAGCTTTCATAAATAACAACGTTTGATATTTAGCTTCATCCAACAAAACACATGAATAAATATGACTTATAAAAATGAATTCAACCTAATCTACCGTAACCCACTTTTAATGCATTTAAAATTTATTTTTAATCAAGACTTCTGCATCATGCATCAACTTGAAAGATTATAAGTAATCAATATCAAACAATTTAACAAAGCAAACGAAAGTTACTCTTAAATACTTCATCCCCTTTTCTCCTCTCCTCTTCCCTTCCATTTGTTTTATATTCCTTCTCATACGAACTCCCAAACATTCAATAAATATTAGTTTAACAGGATAAAACGTTTACACAAAAGCCTCAAGTACGTACAGAAAAGTTGCAAAATTGATTATAGCAATAAACAAAAGAAAAAGAAAAACTTTAAGCATTCCCAACCGTCTTTCCTACAGACAAATCCTACAAGTGTAAGCGCTCGATCTCAGCATCGTTACTTCGGCCAAGCTCTGTTTTTTGTGTGACTGCGAGGTTCACTCAACCAATCAGCTCTTCTCGAAGCATGCACGGATGCTACTCTACGATGCATGCGAGGATTCCCCCGCTACCATACTCTGTTCCACCGACACCTCTGTTCTCTACTAGAGCTGCAGCATAGTCATAAACATTCAAAAGTACAACATATTCTTAAATATATAAGACATTAAACATGCAAAGATATAATTAATAGCAAAACAACCACATAGTCAAAAACACTAGTTGTATCTATGTTTATTTACTATGCAATTCAGCAACACAACCTCCAAAACAACAATGTTGTTGCTGCATACGATTACTATACAATGGCTATTTTCTACTAAACAAATTTTGCACCATAGTCATCCACAAAATTTAAGTATTGTTGCTGCTGCTACTACGTAATTACTACATTCTATGGTCACTCACTAATATCGTAAAACAATTTATATTCATTAATAACTAATATTAATACAAAGAAAAACTTTGGTTAGTGGTGTTGCACATGGAACTAATAAAGAATGTGCCATCTTCAGAGTCCTTTTCATGAACTTCACATCCATCTCCTTCAACTTCTTCTCCATTGCTTCCAGATCTTCACACTAACAAAAAGTAACCCCAGATTCATAAAAGATCAAAGTTATAGTTTTTTCAACAACTAACACTTAATCTATACCTGAAAAGATATATGGTTCTCCTGGGAATCTAAGTGTTGAGCATCGGAAGACAATCTCTAATCTTCTTCTTCGGATTGCACCAAGTGGATACTGACTCCATAGTTGAACGACCATGCACCCTCAAAGTCCAAAGCTTGGGGCCTCTCAATCTGAACAAATCCCAGCACCTTTGTGTAGAAATCTATGGATTCCTTCACATTTTTACACAACCTTGAAACGTGGTTTAGAGCCATCAATGGAGGTCGGTTCTCATTTCTTCAATCCTCTGCCTTTCCATTAATCCTCTGCCTTTCTCATTTCTTCATACCCATGAAAATGATGCAAAACTCCTAAACCTTTACATCCACGAAAAATCTGCAGAGCCACCGATTGATGGGGAGCTACAATGCGAGAGAAAAAAACTAAAGGACGACAACAATGAACTTCGAATAACAATGGAAGAGAAAAAAATCTAACTCAACAAATGTTCGACCAACACTAAGAAGGCAAAGAAAAGGTTTCCAAAAATTATTACTTTTCCTACTTTACCCTCACTTACTCTGTATCGTTTTTTCAAACGATGACATGGAACATGTCAAATGAATGTTACTTCCACGTCAAGTTATTACTTCTCTTTTATATTATTTTGAATTCCTTAGTTTTAGGAAAGGAGAGAGAGAACATGATATACTCTCTTTTGGTTCTACATGTTACACGAATAAGTGGAGGGCTGAGTGTTTTTCCTTAACTTGGTTTTTGTACGTTGTAAAGGATCGAGGGCTTGGTTTTAAGTTTAGAAAATGTCTTTTCAACAACTTTTTTTTTTATAACAAAAAACAATGTAATAACTTATGATTGATTCATTTCATCGGACCACTGAAATAACGATAGCGTTGTTAAAAAATTGTTAAAAAAAGTTATTAAAATATCATTATCGTTGAAGTTTTAATTAAATAATTAAATATTTAGATAAAGTAACAACATTAAAACAGAAAGTGATATTAGGATGAAGGTATTCAAGTGAGATTTAAGGTAAAGCCTAGGGGATACCCTGGAGCCGTGAAGGAAAAAGCACTGAAAGCAGGGAAATAATAATTGGAAGTAGCCGTGAGATGGTGGAGGGTAACCCTAACCTCTTTGTTTGTACCTAAAGTGTTGTGAGAGAGATTAGAAACCAACCCTACTCTCAACTCTCTTTGCTAAACCGAGAGAGAATGAACCCTTATCCCTATATCAAGGCGAGATTGTGTGGGTGGATTAGGGAGTCAAAAACCGTGAAGAGTGGCAAGTGTAACGTGAACAAACCCTTGGAAGCCAGGTAAGGGGAGCACCTTAGCATATTGTTGAGATGTTCTGGTCCGAGATATTGTGTTCTTTTATGTTTTGATGATTATATGATATTGATGTTGTCTCTTTACGCTATTGGGGCTGTAGGGAAGCATGCGAATGCTTACTTTTTCGTTTGGTGGTTGTCTCCTCTTTGAACTGTGAATGTCACGTGTATGTGTGCTTAGAATTGTAAAATCCTTTTAATGTCCTATTGTGCTAACCTTAAGATCATGAGTTCACTCTCGCCACTGAAAGCGAGATGGGTGTTGGAGTTGGTAGTTTCAATTCCTCTTCCTTCCATGGAAAAGGGGACGTAATCTCTAGTATATAGGAAGAATCCGGGATGTTTGGTCTTGTTGTATCCTTTGTCTGGTACGTGAAACCATGCACTGGGTACTTGGAGTTAGCGGTCTAGAAAAAGAGAAAGTTGGGATGTGAGGTTAGAAACAGGAGTAGTGGAGGAGACTAGGGAGAATCTACATGAGTTATTGAGTAGAGAAAAAGATGATGGATAAGGTGTAAGTGTAAATAATTCTTTAATTTTCAATTGAATGAAAAACACACAGGATCTTGAATTTTCATGATACTAACTATTCTCTCATACAAAGTAGAAAAGAACTTACACCTGGATCCATTGTATAGTTTTTTTTCTGTCAATGTTCTCCCTTCTCTTACTCCTCTTTAATGCTTTATATAGAAAATTCTGAGGGATGTCACACTTTATTTCTTTTCAGAGAACTTAACCTTTGTTTCTCTTTTTTCAGAAACTTAACCTGTCAACCGTAGTCTAATCTTTTTCCCTCTTTTATGATATTTAATTAACTTTAATAAAATATTCTAATAATGATCACATTAGAATATGTACATCAAAGTTAGACTTTAAATTACATGAACCAATTTTAAATATTAATATAATTTAATAGTACGTGCATGATAGGAGAATGAAAGAACAGGTTGTGGTATTAGGGAGAGAAGGGTGGTATAAGATGCGGGGTGTTGTTGAGATATGGGTG